AAAAAATCAAATCAAATGAGGTAGTTTATAATAGATAATTTTTTTAAAAACTTCTATGTTCTCAAAATTTAACAACGCCATGGGTCGTTATTAGAATCAAGTTTTGAAATTTGGATTCTATTACCACCTTAAATTAAAACATGATTTTATAACACAAAAACCAATAAAAAGTATTATTATTAAGAGTTAGTTTAGATAACGAATATATACGTTACAGTTGTAATGTGATAGCAAGAAGGCAAATCCATTTTTAGTGTGTTATTTTCCTTAAGTAATATTTAGGTGTACTTACGTGGCTGGAGACGCGACACTATGAAACGTGCGTCCGCTTCGGGCGCGTCCCACTTACTGTCAAATTACTTTTTTCACTGGCTATTTAAACACACAAACTTTACTCTTTTTGTTGTCCAACAAAAATACGTTACTAATTTTTAAGGTATGACTTTTCTGGAACCCTATATTATGTCTAATATGAGTGATTTAAAAATTAGATCGTTAATAGAGTACACATTTTAGGGGGTCGTTAATAGGAGCTTTTACGTTAATGGCCGATGCTTATTATAAAAATTTGGTCACGATACGTTCATAAACGTTGTGTTACCTATTTTCCTTCGTAACACGCGAACGCTGAAATAAATGAATGTAGGCTGTTTTTTTAAGTAATTTCGTGTGTTTATAGTATTGACTTTAATGTTTTATGTAATTGCAGTATTACAGTCAGCTATTTGGTAGGTAACGAAATATGAAAATATTCGTTGCCATTAGGTAATCCGTCAACTTGTTTGCTACACTATGATATAAAAAACTTTTTTTTTTATGTAATAGGTCGCCAGACGGATTGCCTGATGGTAAGCAATCAGCGCCGCCCATGGACACTCGCAACGGAGTTACGAGTGCGTTGCCGACCTTTTAGGGATTAGGGATTTGGAGACTTAGGGATTGAGGAGGGATTGGGGGAGGGGAAGGATTGGGCCTCCGGTAACCTCACTCACACGGCGAAACAACGCTGTGGTTGTTTCACACCGGTTTTCTGTGAGGCCGTGGTATCACTCCGGTCGAGCCGACCCATTCCTGCCTAAGCATGGCTCTCCCACACTTGTTCAATCCAAAACTGATTGTTTTTCAACAAAGAAGTTAGCTATCTACTGTTTTTGTTCTTAATAATTTCGATTACAATCTAAAGCGTGCCAACCGTGCTGTTCTTTGACTACACAGTTCAATTCTTTGAAAGAGTTATCCACACATTGTTCTTTCTGATCTGGGTGTGATGTGCATGTGAAATTATATGTTTATAAACACACCCACGACACTGGAGAAAATCCTAGTGTGTGTAATGTGTGAACATTTGTGATCACATAAATGTAAACTTAATTGTGTACATACGTAGTTTGAATTGAACGCACGACGCGTTGCTAAGCAACCATTCACCTAGCCACTGCACTATGCGTATGTATATTAATGTCAGCGTTCATACTTTGAGTTCATATCGATTGAATCCAATTGATATTAGATAAATTCAATTGCCTGTTTAGTCTGTTTGAAAACTATGGCTTTGGAGTCGAAAATCAGTTAGGTATTGTTCCCAGCTCAGCTAGTCTGATTTTAATCATCTGTTTGTTTTTCTTTTTTGCTGTAAGTTTGATGTTTGATGATAATTTAGTTTAAGTTTAGTAGCGAAATTTCGGTGTAAGTATACCAACATAACCTTTGTTTTTTATCGTACTATTTGTAGTCCACACGTTTGTTTTTATTTTCTTAGAAAACCCACTTTTACAACTTTTGTTTTCTTCTGTGACTGTGGATACAACAAGCATACATTGCCACATACCTACACATCACACGAAGCCTTGGAGTAGCAATTTGTGGGTCGGAAAAAGAATTGTGAACTCAGAACACGTTACCCGGAAGCCAGTTGCCCAGCCACCATTTCAACTAGGCAGTCAAACAGAATACTACTACATGAAAATAAGGGTCTAAATTATTTAGATTGGTATTTTGAATCTCCGTAATATAAACATACATACTTTTTTGAATTTAAACAAAATAAATTACCAAATAGCAATACTCAACATTTCTACCAACAAACTATTTCCTCGCATCCATTAAAGTCGAATTTTACTAAGAACTTTAGCCTCTTTTTCACAGAAACGTAACGTAATTATGTAAAAGTTCAGCGCAATTTGAACCTTATGTAAGAAGCGTGGGTCAAAGCCTGTTATATCCGTATTTAAAGGAATGTAGTCACGACATTTCTGATACGAAGTTTTGTACTATGTATGGATTTACGACAGGGACTTAGAAAAAGTGTCGAAAACGATATTTTTGCTTCAAAAATAGCATTGGAGTTTCTTAAAAAAAATTACTAGAAAAATCTAGAATAAGTATATACCTAGTCAAAGTTCTCACCTAATAAACTAATGTAAAAATAAATGTAACAAAAAATCTCATTGAAAAAGAGTATAATTTGTAACCATGGAGTTTCTTGGTTCTTCTACATAGGAATCTACACTTTGGAACGTGCAAATAGCTCCATGGATAGACTGACATTTTTTTATTTTTAAATCTTTATTTTAAGTTCAACCAATAGTGTATTTTTTTTAATCTTTTTTCAAAAGAGCATAATAGCATTAGCAAATATGACGCTCTGTACACAAAGCAAAAAGTAATTAAGAGTTTCGAAAAATAATGTACCTACCTATAAAAAAAATAAATGATTTGACATTTGACTTTTGACTTTTTGATGTGACATGAAAAACGGATCTCCATTGCTTCAAATAAAAAAAAAGAATAAACTTTTTTTCCCTAGTATTAAAAAAACAGCCGATGTCTTTTTGTTCGATGACAATACTTATTAATTTTCTATAAAACCTGGGGTGAATGTCTTTGTTCATTTATTATTTATATTCATTAATTTTTATTTTTGGGGTACGTTAATCAATTTCAAATTCTATTTCATGTTGAATAAGACTAAAGTTTAACTGCAGTTTAATTCATTTAGTGCCAAGTTACAATTCTGATTCTTATTTCAAAACAATAAAACTCAAAATTGATAAGCACGTATGTAATGTAACTCTAACATTAATAAAAAATAATGGTTATTTTAAAGCAATAACAATATTTTTCATACTATCGAAATGAAATTAATGGTAGCTTAAATCTATGTTCGAATTTCAAATGCGTACGAAGTAGGTACTAGTTTTATGTAAAGTGAGTCCTTTGACAGTGGTTTTAGGGTCGAATTTTTGTAAAAAAAGGCCTATTTCATTGTAATAAGATATTTTTTCCTAGAGCAACGTTACCAAGACTTGTTGAATGAAATTAATCTTTGTCATTTTCCAGTTATTTGAATTCATTTATGTTTTATTTTAGTTGAACTTAAAACAATATCGATAAGGAGGTGAAAATAAAAAAGGTTGTATTAGGTAAGTACGAGAATAATGTATAAAAAAATTTATGTTGTAAATTGGTTATAATGTTATCGTAATGTGGGACAGCCGTGACTTGGCACGAATGGAAGGGAAGCATGAGAAGCCTAAAATAAATAAATAAATAGCACGGAATCAACCTTAAACACAGCTTACATTGTGTTCCGTCGCGTCAAAATGGTTAATGGAGATCAAATCCCCTATATCCCCTATTTAAAGTGTGGGAGAGCCAAGCTTCGGCACGAATGGGTCGGCTCGACCGGAGTGATACCACGGCCTCACAGAATACCGGCGTGAAACAACCCAAAGTGTTGTGTTTCGCCGTGTGAGTGAGGTTACCGGAGGCCCAATCCCGTACCTTCCCCTATCCCTTCCCGATCCTTACATCCGCAACCCTTATCCCCAAAAGGCCGGCAACGCACTCGTAACTCCTTTGGTGTTGCGGGTGTCCATGGGCGGCGCTGATTGCTTACCATCAGGTAATACGTCTGCTCGTTTGCCGACTTACACCATTAAAAAAAAAATCCCCAAATGTGACCAACTTTTCCTATGCCCAAAAGACTGGCTACGTATTTGGAACCGTTCTGGGTATCCGCCACCGATTACCATCAGTGGGTCTGCCCGTTTGCTGGCTTATACTAGGTATAAAAATGCCATTTTTTTGTGAATATTATACATACCTATAGCATCGTAGTTAGTTTCTTTCGTATTTTCGAAAATTGCGCATATAAAGTTTCTAGAATAGTGCCCGAAGTATATATAGCAATATGCTCACATCCTATTAGGTACATTTCAGATCAGACTTTAATCAGAGACACCTATTTCCTTACGCTGAAATAAAATTAAGATTCAAATGTACCTATTTATGGTTTAGTCGGAATATATGATAACTTTTTTCTCTTTATCTTTCGTCTTTGACTTTGACATTGTAATGCTTGGGCCACACAAACGGGAAATGCCTTTAATTATCGCGATAATTGATGTTATTAAACAATGAAAAATATACCTCAACTCATTTGTTTAGTCATCAAATTACACCTACGATTAACGTCCATTATCGCGATAATAATTAATGACATTTCTCGTTAGTGTAGCCCAAGCATAATATTTTTTTTTATATAATTAATCCATAATGTCCAGTAAAATAATCAAACGAGTAAAATAATAGGTATAAACAAAACACACAGACAAAACACAATAATAGTTTAAATTCTTGTCAAAATTCAAAAAAGGAACGTGGTCCTTTTAACGGTTTCGGCAACGCACTTATCACTTTTTTGGTGTTTTCAAATATCAAATGTCCTTGGGCGGCGTCGATTGCTTACCATCCGATCATCCGTGTTTTCTGTCCTATTCTATAAAAAAATACCAATATTATAAATGTGAAAGTAACTCTGTCTGTCTTTCTTTTCTTCACGCCTTAACTACTGAACCTATTTGTGTGAAGATTTGTACAGACATAATTTGGAACTCGAGAAAGGACATAGGATAGTTTTTAAATCAAAAATCTGCAGGAAGTCACTATTCCTCGCGAACAAATTCGCGGACAAAAGCTAGTTATTATATAAATCTTACCTGTTAGTATTATTTCCATTGTGCGTCGGCGCAACTCTTCGTCCTCGTCGCCTGCAGAGCCGTGCGCAGACGCCGCGTGCGCACCCCAGTCGCTCCCATAGCGCGGGTTGGGGGGAACGGGGAGACTCCGGTAATGCGTCACCATTCATCGTTTTAATCTTTTGTTTTTTTTTACTAGAACTAGGTATCACATTTTTTAAGTAGGTACTTTTTTCTCAATGTATTAGTTTTTTTCTTGTTTTGAAAATTGCCGCACTCAATTTACGAATCTAAATACAAAGCTGAAAATAGTGAAGAATAAGAATCTATCCCAATTCATTCCCACGTGCCACGGTTTACACTGAGGAAATCACCGTTTCAAGAGTCCTAGGAAAAGATGTATTACATATTATGTAAAAACCAATGCCACTTTTCGTTGTAATATTAAAAGTCAACAATGCCTTTACCGATCTGGCTAAATTTTGGTCTTGAATTATTCGTGGAAGTCCAGGGAAGGTTTAAAAAAGTCAGAAATTGAAGTTAATTTTGAGGCGTAACGAAGTTTGCCAGGTCAGATAGTTATGTATTTAATGTATTTAATGCATCAAACCACAAGCAAACGCCGGCGTTCGAGCGACTATAGTTCTTCTATTACCGCGATGCAAGGGTCAAACTTGGTTATGTGTACCTATGTATTTGAAAATAAATTTCAGGTGGCTGTAGCGAATAATAGCAATAAAAAATATTTTATTTTAATACTAGAGTCTTTCTGGCTTTACAGATTTGCGTTTCCGTGGTTAGATTTAATACAGCAGACTTAATTTTACTATTTTAACCTATAATCGTGGTACTTCATTCGAAACACAATAGAAGAACCAAAGAACAATATGTGCGTAAACGGCGTTCGCTTGGGTTTGTAAAATTAATAGATTTTGACACGAGAAAATAACTAACAAACGTGATTTACCTACCCTATGTACCTTCACATACCTTCGAAATAATAAATTAAAACTAATTTACCTAACATTGGAAAGATATAAATGCGAAAGTAACTCTGTATGTCTGTCTTTTCTTTACGCCTAACCTAACTACTGAACCGATTTCTGTGATATTTGTTACAGACATAGTTTGGAACTAGAGAAAGGACATAGGATAGTGTTTTTATACCAAAAATCTGCAGGAAGTCACTATTCCACGCGAACGAAGTCGCGGGCAAAAGCTAGTACCTCTTTTTATGTAATAGGTCGGCAAACGAGCAGACGGATTACCTGATGGTAAGCAATCAGCGCCGCCCATGGACACTCGCAACGGAGTTACGAGTGCGTTGCCGACCTTTTAGGGATTAGGGATTTGGAGATTTAGGGATTGAGGAGGGATTGGGGGAGGGGAAGGATTGGGCCTCCGGTAACCTCACCCACACGGCGAAACACAACGCTGTGGTTATTTCACGCCGGTTTTCTGTGAGGCCGTGGTATCACTCCGGTCGAGCCGACCCATTCGTGCCGAAGCATGGCTCTCCCACACCTAATGTATAATATGACCTAGGTAATCCTTGTAACTGTTCTGAGTAAAAATTCAGGGTCTATTCAATACCTAAATATTACTAACAAGATTTTAAATAACCTACTTCAAAAACCTCCTCATGATACGATAGTCTATCATTAGTGGCAGAAACTGGTGAAATTGTGTTCCAATAGAGTTATAGCCGTAGGTAATGATAGACTGCGTTCGATGCATCGATATTTATGGCCGCCGGTAGATATCTGTGTGAATAAGTCAACGAGTATTGATTCCACTGACGTCTGCTCAAAGAGTATAAAATTATATTAAGTAGGTGTTTAAGTATCTATATATGTCTACCTACATATCTATGTCTATATATCTTATCTTCTTATATATAAAAATGGATCGTAAAATGTGTTGGTAAGCGCATAACTCAACAACGCCTGGACCAATTTTGCTAATTCTTTTTTTTGTTGTGTTTGATATGGTCAGGCAGGAGAAGGTTCTTATGAAAAAATACTAGAAACGTAGAGGGAAAGATTAGGAAAAAGTGACCCATTGATAGCGAGATAGTTGGACCCGTGCGAAGCGGGGGCGGGCCGCTAGTTTTATATAAAAACAAAAATGGATCGCAAAATGTGTTGGTAAGCTCATAACTCAACAACGCCTGGAGCAATTTTGCTAATTCTTTTTTTGTTGTGTTTGTTATTGTCAGGAGAAGGTTCTTATCAAAGAAAATATTAGAAAAGTAGAGGGAAAAATTGGGAAAAAGTGAACCTTTCATAGCGAGATAGTTGGACCCGTGCGAAGCGGGGGCGGGCCGCTAGTTTTATATAAAAACAAAAACGGATCGATCGCAAAATGTGTTGGTAAGCGCATAACTCAACACCGCCTGGACCAATTTTGCTAATTATTTTTTTGTTGTGTTTGTTATTGTTAGGAGAAAGTTCTTATGAAAGAAAATTCTAGAAAAGTAGAGGGGAGATGTGGGAAATAGGCAGACGTGGTCGTAAGCGAGATAGTGGGAGACGCGTGCGAAGCAGGGGCGGGCCGGTAGTATCTATATAAATATAAATTGATGCTACTTTTCGTTGTAATGTAATAACTCAACAATGCCTTTACCAATTCGGCTAATTTTGAATTATTCATGGAAGTCCAGAAAAGGTTAATACGCTGAGAAAATAAAAAAAGGCAATTTTAAGTTATAAGAACAGTATAGATGTGCCAAGTTTCAGCACGAATGGGTCGGCTCGACCGGAGTGATACCACGGCCTCACAGAAAACCGGCGTGAAACACAGCATTGTGTTTCGCCGTACGAGTAAGGTTTACCGGACGCCCAATCTCTATCAATCAAAATCTCCCCTTAATCCCTAAATTTCCGAAACCGTAATCCCCAAAAGGCCGGCAACGCACTCGTAACTCCTCTGATGCACCTAAGGATTGAGGAGCCACATCAGCTTTTTCAAATCTGATCTCACCATTATTTAGCAGCAATGTAGCCTATTTCAATCAACATCTAGCTGGATTGAGGAGCCACCTTTTCACTTAAATAACTACGGGTACCTAAAAATCTAGATTCGTGCTGCTAAATAATGGTAAGATCAGATTTGCAAAAGCTGATGTGGCTCCTCAATCCTTAGGTACGTACCTACATACTATTCTGGCGTTGCTCGTAATCCGTCAGCGTTTGCCGACTTATCACAAAAAATACAAAAAAGTTGGTAGGTAGAAGAGTAAATATAGATTCACCTGTCCTATCAAGTTCTCACAACTCACGTGACAATTTTCAATCCAGTGATTTAAAAAAATCTAAGCGTACTAATATTTGTTTAACTGTAACTGTTAATAATTAAATAAGCACACGGGTTTCTAATTATGTATGACAAAATTAACGGTCAAAGGTTTTTTAAGTACTTACTTAAAATTTTAACTTTGCTGCTGTAAGTAAATTTTATCTAAGTAATGTAATGTGTCATCAATTATTTAAGTAATTTTAACATTAATTGCTATAGATATATGTAGGTACCTCGTTTAGTGAGGTCACTGTAAGTAATTGTAATATTAGTTTGTAAATAAATTTTAGTTTTTCCCAAATCAGTATTGTACTAACAATTGACTACTAAAACATTTTTTATTCCATTGTACTAAATAGATATTTATCGTACTAATAATATAGTTTTTAAATTACAAGTTTTCAGAAAACTTTTAAATTAAAATCTATTTACCTTTTAAAACTCACAAACTTCAATTTAAAAACGTAGGTAGGTAATTTTACAATCGCGTGACCAATTTAAAATTTAAACACAGATAAAAAATATTAGTCGATTATTTTTCAAATATCGAAACGATATTTTCGCGTGTTCGCGGATTGCGCGGCAAGCAGCTGTGTAAACGTCAGCCGTGAGCTTGCTTCAGTGGCAAAGGAGTTACTAGCATTCAGCCAAGAACCAAGGCGATATCGACTATACGCGATCTAGGAGACCGGTCCCGAGGGGCCTATTGTCAAAACTGATCGAGTTTTCTTTATTTATTTGTTTGGCGTTGCTTGGTTTGATAGGGAACAGCAAGATCTTTAATAATGCAATGAGTGCTATTAGTACTACTACTACAGACTCAATTATTTTGTCTACATCTTAATTAGAGATTAGCACCTACGTACAATTTAGTTTCAAATTAAATAAATAATATAATTTCAATTAATAATAATTTTTTCACTTTTGTTACACACTGTGTCTTATATTTTAATTACATTTCCTGTCTCAGGTCTACTGGAAGAAATTCCAACAGGAATAAGTAGCACCTTTGTACTCTTATTTTTTTTTTATGTATTTTCCTCTGTGCTGTTTGTGTGTACATAAATTATTAAATAAATAAATATCCTCATGTACTTAGTTATTTATATGTTTGTTTAGTGATCTCATATTATTTATTATTTGGAACATTAAATAAAATTTATACAAGGAAAATAGCAAGGTATTCAAACAAAAATCTTTGAGAATTAACCCCCAGAACAAGAAATGAAATATTACTTTTTAATAAGCCCGTCGTGTGATTTATTATTGTATCTATTTTTATTATAACAGAGTTGTTCTTGTAATCTCATAAAATAGTTTAGAACCATAAATAAATGTCAATGGTTTATATGTTACAAAGTATTTATTTTCCAACATTTCTCCTGGCATTTTCTTATGTGAAAATCCTTCAAAAGCCAGGACATCCTTTTTTTATGGCAAGTATCTGATGGTAAGCAATAAGCGCCGCCCATGTACAACCGCAGCAACAGGGGAGCTACTACTGTGTTGTCGACCTTTTAGGGATTAGGGTTTCGGATATTTAAGGATTGCGCAAGGGGAAGGATTGGTCATCTGTTAACCACACTCACACGGCGAAACACAACTCTGTGGTGGTGTGTGAGGCTGTGGTATAATTCCAGTCGAGCCGACCCATTCTTGCCGAAGCATAGCTTTCCCACACTTAAAAAATGTTTGGTAATTTTAATAAAAATATATAGCACTTTCCACTTAAGAAAACCTTAATTACTTCACTTTGCACAAAAGCCTGGCCATTAATTATGACTTATATTTAATCAAACACAAATATCACAGGGAAAATTGTAAATGATCACCAGAATAAAACCGCATTTTGATTAAAAACTATACCTAACCTAATTTTGTACATATTGCAGTCCTATCAAAATGTTTTGTGTTATTAAATTGTTAAGTTGTTTGTATGTATGTGTTAATTAAAGGAAATGACTCCAAATAAATCATATTTAACCCATAAATAGTAAATTATCACCAAAATTGAAACCACAGTTTAAAAGGAAATTATAACCAAAGTTTGAACAACTTGCTATTCTATTAAAAGCAAATGACTTCAAACAAATGATTGTTGACCCGAAAATAGCTAATGAATACCAAACAATTAACCATATTTGAATTTAGAACGACATGCAAAAAAGTAAATGAAGCTTTTTAATTATTTTTTTACTCATAAAGAAAATAAAGTCTTTATTTGAACCTAACTAAGCTCTGCACGTCGATTCTATAAAATTTGTTTGATTTTTAATCCTGTTCGAGTGCGAAGTGTGAGCATCGAAGTGACGGGTAAATTAAATTTTAGAATGCCACTTTTAACGTTATCTCATACTTTATCTATCAAAATGTTGCTGTCAATTTAGTTCAACTCGCAAGTGTAGCGTTAGTGTACTACTACTCACAGCCGATTCAGATTCAAAATTTAAAATGAAGTCTTACAGAATCACACTGTTGATCTTAATATGTATCTTAGTTCTAAACAAATAAAATTCATACAATTTTAATTAGCCTTTTATTAAAATTAAAAGAAACATAAAAGTCACTCTCTTTTTTTGAACTAACTATAAACATTTACAAATCTTAAGAAGAATCAGTATAACCTAATATTGTATCATATAATGTGAAAACATTTTATAGCAGTCATAGTGATTTAATTGGGCAAAAATAGCGCATTAATATTCTCGATGAAATTTGGTGGTTATTTACCTACTGTTTTTGGTCTCTTTGAATATAATTTAAAATGCAGTCGTGACTTGTTTGGTGTCAAGTACAGGGTTTTGGTACAACAGCTTAGGCCCTAAGCCGTTTTACCCTAGGGTATCAAAGTATTTTTGGTGGTCATATAATTTTATCCCATTAATAATTGTGCCATCTGCGTGCGTCATTGTAGGGATCCAGCAGAATAAAAGCGTCAGGTATATACCTGACATATGCTGAGCTGGACTCCCATTCGGTGCAAACTAAAGACACACTGAACCGCGCCGTTTTTTTTTCTTTATAGAACATAAAGAAAAAAAAACGGCGCGGTTCTTTCGTACTATCCGTCAAATACGTAAATTATTTTTTTGTTTAATTTGCATTGTGTACCCACTTATTCGTCAATTAATTTGTGTCTGTTATAGTTTGTGCTGAATAAATGTGTTATCTATCTATCTATCTAGTTTAGGTTTGGTGTCCTAGAATGACTTAGAGTAGGTTTTTTATAGGATAAGGCGGCACTGAGTACAAGTTCTCTCTCTTGTACTCCATGGCTACTAGAGAGAGTACAAGTTCGTTGCACTTGCCAGTCTTTTTGGGGTTACGAGTTTTGACTGGGGGATTGGGGGTGGGGATAGGCTGGGGAAAAAAAAGTTTTATGCTCATTATAATATTTTTATAATCATAATAGGTATCAGCTACAAAACGTGTATGTATAGAAAAGCCTCCTCCAACTTAGGTACATAAAACAGCTTAACCTGTAAGCTTCACTTAAAATAACTTTAAATAGGATTATAGTACTTCATCATCATCATCATATCAGCCACAGGACGTCCACTGCTGAACACAGGCCTCCCCCATTGACTTCCAGATAGGCCGGTTGGAAGCGACCTGCATCCAGCCGCTTCCTGAGACCTTAATCAGGTCGTCTGTCCACCTTGCGGGTAGTACTTACAGTAAGCGAATATAAAACCAAGATATGGTTAAAGTAAAAATTACTGATACTATGATATAGATATATCTAACTTTATTTACGGTCAAATTATTATTAACAAATCGATCTTAATCCCACACATTTTGTATTCAGAATGTTAAATAAATTGGTCGATCGTGGTTTAAAGTTTCTGGCTTTTAATCAAACTTTTTGAGAGTGCTTCAGGATTTTGGTCTTCAATTCCACCTGGCTGGTCACGTTAAGGTTGCACTAGAATCCTCCACTGACCGAAAAGGCAGCAAGCAGGAGCCTTACCTAAATAAATGGAAAATCAATAGCTTTATTAGAAAGTAAGAGTCGATCATTTCTTCTTGAAAAAGCAGCAGCATTTTAAAGCTAAAATATAATCATTTATTTAAAAAATCTACAAACGGGCTGTTAGTCTCTAGTGAAAAATTAGTTACCTAATAAATATTCCATATTTTTAGCAAATTTTGAAGTGTCATGGCCGCGGTATATTGTTTCGATTGCACCCATAACTAAGGATAGGGTGATGAATTATAAATCACGGCAACATAATAATATATCTGGCTTATGTATTGGCAATATATGACTAGCTTCTACTACAGATATTCTCGCAGAATCAGGGTAAAAAGCCTCTCTCCTATGTATGTTTAAATGTTTCAAACAACACAACGGATTTTGAGGACTTTTTTATGTAATAGGTCGGCAAACGAGCAGGCGGATGACCTGATGGTAAGCAATCAGCGCCGACCTTTTAGGGATTAGGGATTTGGAGATTTAAGGATTGAGGAGGGATTGGGGGAGGGGAAGGATTGGGCCTCCGGTAACCTCACTCACACGGCGAAACACAACGCTGTGGTTTTTTCACGCCGGTTTTCTGTGAGACTGTGGTATCACTCCGGTCGAGCCGACCCATTCGTGCCGAAGCATGGCATTAATAGATTGATTGAAGAAGAAGTAGTTTTTACGTGAAAGTGTAACAAACATCCATTCATTCATACATACTTACAAACCTTTGCGTTTATTTATTTATTTTATAATATTATACGTACATACGAATTAGCTGGCGGGGTTTAGCAGAGGAGTCGTGGCTCCAGGGCGCCCTAGGTGTGCAGGACTTGGTGTTAAACTGGTTGGGGCAACATATCTGACCCCACTTCGTGCAGTCCGCGTCCGAGTGGCACACTGGTTTGGAGTTCATCACTTTGTTCTTTGGAGGACAATTACCGTAGGACATTACCGCTGCGAAAATAAGAGATTGCATTTTTTTGATTAAATTGAAGGTAAAAATACTTAAAATATCTGTACCCACATCGTGTTTCACTGTGCTTGCGAGATTGCTTACCATCCGATTATTCGTCTGCTCCTTTGACCGACCTGTCTCAAGAATAAATCCTTTTTAGGGATTTAAAAAGGTCTTAAACACCAACTGTCTTTTTAATGACATGGATAGAGCTGCAAACAGCGCAGACGGATCGTCTTATGGTAAGCAAACAACACTGCCCGTGGACATCAGCAACGCCAGGTTGCACTGCCTTACCGGTCCGACTTCAGACTCATACATATACATTATATAAAAACCTAATAAATACATTTAAATAGATCATGGCCATCTGACTCATATAATTAAGCTGTCGATGTCATTGGAAATTTCGAATGGAAAAGTACCTGATACCAGGAAGGATGCTGCGATGAAGATAAAGATGAAAATCCTTACAGGACCTGAAATAATTAAAAAAAGCCTTTATACCTACCTGCACTATATAACTCCTTATCCATTATCCTTATATTACTCACTCGCAAATAATAAATAGCAATGAAAAAGAAACAGTTTTATTATACTTTGGTGTCATTATGTGCCTAATTGCAATGACATTAGAGCCACTTTATGTATTATGTAGTATTATTTCTGTTGAAAAAATATATAAGTATCAAGTTGCGCCTGTATATTTAATGTCTAGTGTGTTAGGTGTCTTGTAGAGATTATCTTTATATATAAAAATTTCGTGTCACGTGTTTGTCCGCAATGGTTTCCTAAACTACTAAACCGATTTTAAATTTGATTTGCATTCCGTGTGCATTTTGATCCAACTTGAAAGAAGGGTAGCTTACATCTCAATTTATAGTCACAATATTATTTTATTGCAAACTATTTGTCCATATGTAATAATAAATATAAAAATGAATCACGAAATGTGTTGGTAAGCGCATAACTCAATAACACCTGAACCAATTTTGCTAATTCTTTTTTTGTTATGTTAGTTATTGTTAGGAGAAGGTTCTTACGAAAGAAAACTTTAAAAAAGTAAAGGGGAATAGCGGGAATTAACAACCTTTTCGGTGACGTGGCCGTTCACTTGCAAAACAAATGACTGACATCGGGGTAGTCATCAGATCAGTCAGATAGCCGTGCGGAGCAGGGGCGTTTTGCTAGTTTTAATATAAATTTAACCTTTCAGTCATAGAACTCTTTATGAAAATCAATTACAGTGACTAAGCAGCAAATTTATTTTTTGCTTTTTTTGCAACGCAATTTTGGCATCTGCTTTTTAGTTTGTGTGTTTATAAATTCACTTTGCTATTTATTTTAATTTTAATACAATTGAAATTTGAATTAGTACTTACCCATTTTATCGTCGATTTTGTGCTGGCACAACCTTGTATTTAAGTAATAATTATTTATTCTAAATTTACTTTTGTTTACGTGTCTTGTTGATTATTATTCACTTCAGAATGAAACTATGTATCCTCACGTTCTGGGATTATAAATACCGCTTTAGCTTAACGTAGGAACAATGTGTGGCCGCATATCAAGCTTTAAAAACCAGCTTAAAATGGTCTGACTATGCATGATCTTTCCGCAAATCCAAGTGTCTGTTTATACGGGTTTTTGTAGTATATTATGTGTAATTGTGTATGTACCTACTTGGGAATGAGTCAGTTCCTATGATCGAGGAATATTTGTGCAACCACAATTAAAATAACAATATTATTATACTATATGTATCTGGGGGCACGGCAGCGCACCGCCAAGTCGATCAAAAAAGCAATAAGTAGGTAATTACGGAAATTCTTATTTTTATTATAACTTTCGTGAGACATTCTAAATTATTTATTATGTTTTCGGCTTACTCACGTAATAATTTGACGAGATACTCGACTAGTTTCAAGCCATGCTAGAGGCCCATATTCATGAGCAGCATTCCGCGACACGCGACTCGGCGACCGTCGCGCTGCTACTGGCTACTCGAGTCTGCGCGCCCAACGCGCCCTCTGCCGTGATTCACGCGCACTTTCTTCTAGCCGTGGTGTTGGCAGCGACGGCGCGCGCGACACTGTTGGCACGCTAGACTCGCCCGCCTGCAGCTGCGTTGGTGTTGGGTTCGAATCCCGGGTCGACGCAAAATCAGTGTTACATACCGCGCTAACTGTGTCACACTCCAGACCTGCAACAGTGCAGTCTGATGCAGATTTCAGACTCGGGTTCCAGGCAGGTGGTAATGCCCAGCCACCGTCTCTGTTGAAGTTCGGACGCCGGCTTATTTCGATGGCCTCACGTACTTTCCGCGGTACGAAGTATTTTTCCCTCGCTAGTACTGAGACCTTGTCGAAACGGAGGAAGTGAGCCGTGCCCGTACTACAAGCATGCTCAGCTACCGCCGATGTATGGGTGTCTCGGTTTTTCACACTGCGTATGTGTTCTTTTAGTCTGGTTGTGATGTTGCGGCGAGTTTCCCCGATGTAACTCGAGCCACAGTCGCACGGTATCATGTATACTCCGGGAACCGCCAGCGGATCCTTGTCCTTAGGCGAGCGCAGAAGATGTCGTAACTGACCGGGTGGGCGGAAGATCGTCCTGATGCTGTATCTCCGGCGTAACAGGTGTCCGATGGTGTCGGTTACTCCTTTCACATAGGGTAAAAATGCTGGAGTCCGTTCCGCAACTGCCGGCCGTCTTCTTTTACTTGATGAGCTCGCCATTCGAGTACACTGACGCCAGTTGTACCCATTATTTTCCAGTACCTGTCTTAGGTGGTCGAATTCCGCGTCAATGTACTGGGGATCACACAGGTTCAGAGCCCGGTTGATAAGAGTCCTGGGAACGGAGGCAAGGTGGGAGGGATGAAATTACGCCCTCATAACCCTACTCCACCTAAGATATACGGTTTGCCCAAAATTCACAAGCCGAACTGGCCCCTGAGACCCATAGTTAGCCAGATTGATGCACCCACGTATAAACTGTCGCGGCATCTGGCAACTATACTTCAACCTTTCACAGGTAAAATGGAATCTTACGTGAAAGATTCCAGGCACCTAATCACCCTATTAACGGATATCCGGCTCCAAGAAACAGATATTATGATGAGCTTCGACATCACATCACTGTACACAAATGTTCCAGTAGATGAGGCTATAAATATCATCACCACCTTATTGAACGGTACAGATTTACCTACTGGATACATTGACGGTGTAAGCCATTGCTTAACATCAGGTTATTTCTTGTGGAGAGGTGATTTTTACCAGCAAGTGAACGGAGTCGCCATGGGTTCACCGTTAGCGCCAGTGGTTGCTAATATATACATGGAGTGGTTTGAGGGTCAAGCCTTAACGTCTGCCCCGGTACGACCGCGACACTGGTGGAGATATGTTGATGACGTGTTCGCAGTCATCAACCGGGAACATGTAGAGGAATTTATAGCACACCTAAACTCAGTGCACAGTAGCATACAGTTCACCACTGAGAAGGAAAAAGATGGGATGTTGCCGTTTTTAGACGTCCTCGTAAGTCGTGAAACAGACGGCCGGTTGTCGCACACGGTTTACCGTAAACCGACACACACGGACCGGTACTTACGAGCCGACTCACACCTTGCCTCCGTTCCCAGGACTCTTATCAACCGGGCTCTGAACCTGTGTGATCCCCAGTACATTGACGCGGAATTCGACCACCTAAGACAGGTACTGGAAAATAATGGGTACAACTGGCGTCAGTGTACTCGAATGGCGAGCTCATCAAGTAAAAGAAGACGGCCGGCAGTTGCGGAACGGACTCCAGCATTTTTACCCTATGTGAAAGGAGTAACCGACACCATCGGACACCTGTTACGCCGGAGATACAGCATCAGGACGATCTTCCGCCCACCCGGTCAGTTACGACATCTTCTGCGCTCGCCTAAGGACAAGGATCCGCTGGCGGTTCCCGGAGTATACATGATACCGTGCGACTGTGGCTCGAGTTACATCGGGGAAACTCGCCGCAACATCACAACCAGACTAAAAGAACACATACGCAGTGTGAAAAACCGAGACACCCATACATCGGCGGTAGCTGAGCATGCTTGTAGTACGGGCACGGCTCACTTCCTCCGTTTCGACAAGGTCTCAGTACTAGCGAGGGAAAAATACTTCGTACCGCGGAAAGTACGTGAGGCCATCGAAATAAGCCGGCGTCCGAACTTCAACAGAGATGGTGGCTGGGCATTACCACCTGCCTGGAAGCCGAGTCTGAAATCTGCATCAGACTGCACTGTTGCGGGTCTGGAGTGTGACACAGTTAGCGCGGTATGTAACACTGATTTTGCGTCGACCCGGGATTCGAACCCAACACCAACGCAGCTGCAGGCGGGCGAGTCTAGCGTGCCAACAGTGTCGCGCGCGCCGTCGCTGCCAACACCACGGCTAGAAGAAAGTGCGCGTGAATCACGGCAGAGGGCGCGTTGGGCGCGCAGACTCGAGTAGCCAGTAGCAGCGCGACGGTCGCCGAGTCGCGTGTCGCGGATTGCTGCTCATGAATATGGGCCTCTAGCATGGCTTGAAACTAGTCGAGTATCTCGTCAAATTATTACGTGAGTAAGCCGAAAACATAATAAATAATTCTTATTTTTATCGAAACAGTTTAGGCAATTTTCAACTTATTTTATTAATATTAAATACATGTTTTACCCATATTGAAGTTGAAGACGTCTTTGTCTGAGGTAATAATGATGAAGAATCTTTAAATGCCTAAGAGACGTCGGCCCCAAGAAAGTCGAAATCTTTAACAGATATATGCAGAAACGGCTTTTACTTAAATTCATTCTTGAACATCTATGTAACTGATGTTTGATTAAATTAAAAAAAAAACTATTTTTCTATAATTGTATTTTTCCGTTCTCTTCCATTCTAGGCCAATCAGAGATTTAAAAAAAACTTATGTGTACCTACCTAAGTACATAATATATTTTTACATTTGTGTGTTTTACATTTTCTTACGCCAATAATGGACAATATGCGACATTATTTCGCACAGTTTTAAAGGATTTTGCCGTGTCTTATCTAAATTTAAACATTAAGTAGAACTTATAAAAATATTTAGCTTTATTGAGTAATATTTGTAACTTTTGTAGATTTACATAAACATATACACAGTCTTAAGGTCTGCTGCACTTCAGACGCTTAGTGGAAGGGTCCATCTTGCAAACTTCGAAAGAGTTACACTTCACGTTGTCGCAGTACTGCCCAGCTCCACCAGCTGGAATCATATAAAAATTACATATAATAATACATCAATATATTGTTGGTGCTGGTGCCAAATGAATGATTTTTAGTTAATATTACTCTCAGCCAAGAAATGTAGTAGTTGACAGAGGTATTGCATTTATATTAGAGTAGTAGCTACAGATGGGACCCTGTACCCTGAAGATAGGGTCGATTTGAAGCAGGAGTTATGGGACAAAAACAATAAGGCACCGCGGCGTCGGCCTGGAGCAGGGGAAGGAACGGGTGGTTTTTAGTCAGTAAGGGTCCGACACACAATTGATTTCCTCTCTTAAAAAAAAATAAGTAACGTGGTGTATATTTCAGAAAATGGTTGATTCCAGACAACCGTTTGCTGATGTAAGCCAGCTAACGGTCACAGAAGATGAGACTTTGTATATGAAGGCACCGGGGGGTTGGTACTGTGGGGTTCTGTATAGGCAACTTATATTAAACGCGAATTATGTAGACAGGCATACTACAAACTTTCAGATTATATTGAGGATAAGAATGCCTGGCAGCATGTTGGTTCGGCTCCACTGGACAATTCTCAAATATGTAGTCAGTAGTTATTAAAATTCTCAAAATTAATGAAACCTTGAATGAGTTTATATAGAAGCATTCTTTTGGATTGTGAGTACGCATATGTGAGCGCCATGTACGAGACAACAAAGGATTAAAATTTTAATGATAGATTAAATAGACCATAATTTGTTCCTTTTTATTAACAACTTGTCTCTGCATTGTTCTCACATAGGGGTACAGTAATGTATAAAAAATGTATTATTGATGAATTGTAAAACAAATATTTTTTTTAAAAGAGTAACGATGGAGTTTCTTGCTCGTTCTTCTCCATTCGAAACTACAATTTGGAACGAGCACCTAGCTTCACTGACGAACAGACTGACAGACTACTATTCTATTTTGACGTTTCAAAAGTACCTATTTATGGTTTATTTGGAATAAATGATTTTGATTTGATTTGATTTGATTTGCAATATAATATATAGACGTGTATAATGTTCGGTTACGAAAGCGGTTAGAGCAGTCGCTCGCTAACCGCCCTGTGTATCAGTTGGACGATAAATATGTATTACTAGCGAGTGCTTTCATTTATTAGCCCACGCAGTACTTAAAGTACAAACACCAATATCCCGATCATCGTCTTCACAGTCCATTGCAGGGCGTAGGATTTTATAATCAGACCGAATAAATTAAAAAAATAACGGACGTCGGCGATCCGTCTCCTATGACAGTCACAGCGCTCGCTCTCAACCATAATGCGCAGAACTGTCTGTTTGACGTTCCACCAGAGTACGATTCATTGTACCCTCGTCCGCTGAATTGTGATAAAACCTCCTTCAAAATTCAATTAAAATAATAGACGCGCCGTCATATATATAGGGGTTCACCCCGTTAGTTGTGGTTGCTGGTGACGAAAATATTCTGTTCAACTGTCAGCACACGTTTTTGCAAGTAGTTTAATGAGTTATCATCATAGTTATATTAGCTACAGACGTACGGGCAAAGGGTATGTCTTGAGGATATATGATCGTTATAAGCACCCATGGCAAGCAAGAACAACCAGCGGCCTGGCTTGGAGCAGCAGTTGCTTTAAATCAGTAAGAGCATGACACTCCCTTTTGCCTCATTTTGGGTGGATGGAGCCATTCCACGATTTTGCCCAAGCTACGTCTTGAACACAGAGAACGTCCCCATTGACTTCTTCTAGCTCATACGGATACTTTTAAGTGTGGGAGAGCCAAGCTTCGGCACGAATGGGTCGGTTCGACCGGAGTGAGCCTCACAGAATACCGGCGTGAAACAGCCCACAGCGTTGTGTTTCGCCGTGTGGGTGAGGTTACCGGAGGCCCAATACCTAGCCTTCCCCTATCCCTTATATCCGCAACCCCTATCCACAAAAGGCCGGCAACGCACTCGTAACTCCTTTGGTGTTGCTGGTGTCCATGGCGGCGCCGATTGCTTACCATCAGGTAATCCGTCTGCTCGTTTGCCGACTTATACCATAAAAAAACGGATTTAACAAGGTCGTAAGTATTTCTATCTTTTTGTAAAGATATTTGGATGGTGACAGTTCATAAGGACTTACTCTGGTATTTGCTGGAGCTGCTAGACCCAGCGCCATTAGCAGCGGGTTCAGTACAAGACTTGGCGTTGCAGGAGTTGGAGCAGCACACCTTGCCGTGGCTGCACTCGTAGTCCTGGACGCACTTGGGGCTGCAACCGTACACCTTCGATGGTAGCGGGCAGTTTCCGGCTGGAAAAGTCAGATTGAAAAATTGGTAAGTGTGTCAGAGATTTTGTGAAGACGATTTGTTCTTTGTTAAACATATTGTATTGTTAATGAATATTTTTTAATGAGTATACGCAGTGGCTAAAGCTAAAAACCTGTGGTAGACTCAAGTCTTCATGGCAAGGCCACGCCATCTAGCTGGGCACTATCCTTTTTGCTTATAGCAAATATGTAAAACAATGAATTACCTTTAGTTTTTCTTTTTTAATATGAACGCGGTCAATTAAATAATGTACTTATTTCCAGGACAAAGCGATTGACTGATTACTACAAAACGTAATGAAATAGAAACAAAGTCATTCGATTAAAATGGTATCTAATTGCATTCCATAAACACTTCAAACTAGTATGTTGGAATGATTGACTTAAATGGCCATACTAAGAACGGCTATAATATGTATTATGTAATCTGACGTCTCCAATTATATTCCTGTAATTTTTGACAATAACTTTAGAATCTAAAATTGAGTTTATTATCAATTAAATTGTATGAAAAATATGTAGTTTTAATTCCACAAACAAATCCAGGCTTGTTGCAGGATGCAATACCACCCTATGCAATCATGCACATGCATACAAAAACATGCACATCGAAAATGTGGCATGTTTTTCTGTTTTTTGCACGGATTGCACGGACTGGATTTTTGTCGCGGAATTAAAACTAGATATTTTCCATAACATTTATTTCTAGAATTTATTTAAATATTTAATTTAGTAATCATTTTTTTATTCAAGTGGAATGTAATTATTTTTGAAACGTCAAAGTTGTATAATAAGTAAATAATTTATTAGCTATGAGTTATTCAAAAAGTTAGCAGTCTGTTCTGTTTAGATATTCAGCAGCCACAAGATACAAGATAAGTTTAAATATAGAATTATGCGCTACATAAGTTAATCGGTTATTTATATGAACAGGCCTTTAATACAGTCAACCTATTTATTTACATAGTACTTCATCAGCTTTTAAGTGTCAACTGTTGAGCAAAGACCTCTTCGTACTCTGAGCATTAATCACCACGCTTGCTCAAGGCAGATTTCAAACATATAATTAGAAATTATAAGTCCAGGTTTACTTTACGGTATACCAGTGGAAAAGAAAGTGCGTATAACTCGGAAAAAGTCACATTGGTACTTGGCAGGTTCTGACCCGCATCCTCATGTGTGAGAAGCGAGAAAAGGCGCCTTCGTCTTCAGTGACCTACTTTCAATACTTTAAATAGGACACAGGTAATAAAATAAAGATTAACTCCATATATACCTAACCTTTTTTAAGGATTGCTCGGCTAAACAGCCTCTGTATCTATTGTTAATGTCGCTGTAGGTACCATCTCAATATTTTTTTTTCTGCGTATAAAATGACTTGGCTGTTTTTTTACAAAAACAATATTTCTATGCATGAACCATCTCATGTATTAAACTCACCAGCTTCGGTGTAGGACACCATCAGCACCACGGCCAGGACAGACAGCAGGATTGTTGCAGAACCTGAAATGCAACACCAGGAGCTCATTTATGTGACAGAAGTAAATATAAAGTTAGAATGACAAAGTTTGAACTTAAGGACCGACTCTTTAAAAAAATCGCTCAAGAATAGTTCATACAAAAAGACATAGCGTGGGAAAGCCAAGCTTCCGCACGAATGGGCTAAAACAGGTCGGCTACCACGTCGGCTAAACGGAGTGATACCACGGCCTCACAGAAAATCAACGTGAAGCCAGTCTTTACGTTGTGTTTCGCCGTGAGAATGAGATTAGCGGAAGCCCAATCCCTTCCCTCTATCCTCAATCCACAAATCTCATATCCTTAAATCCCTAATGACCCACAAGAGCTCTCCTCAACTTCTTTGGTATTACGACTGTCCATGAGTGGCGCCAACTGCTTACCATCAGGCAGGTATAACTAGGCGATTACATTAAGATTGATTTCGTCATGCGAAACCTGTTTAATTGCGTAGGTAACTCTTATTTAAGTAGGTACTAATATTTTTGTAATAAATCATTTATTCGCAACATAGATATAAGAAAAGAGTTTTTTATATTTCTGTGATTCGCAAGATACATTTTGGTCTCTAAAATCTGCCTTTAAAGTATCTTTGATTCAGTCTGTTTTTTGTATTTTTGGTAAGTACCATATGTGTATTGAGTCCGAAATTGCGGATGTAAGCGCTATGATATACCGCAGTCTAGCTCGGAGAAGGATAAGGAACTGGGTGGGTTTTAGTAAGAATCTGACACTACCCTATTCCCACCAGGTGGGAGAAGCCTTGGGATCATTTTACCAAAATGTTTTAGGTGTTTACGTAAATAACTAAATGCTTTAACTTTCAAAGCATTTGACCAAATTTCATCTTAAATTTTTAAATCAACTTTTATAAAGTTTTAAGTCAGTTTTATGTTTTATAAGTTGACTTACTTGACACTAATTTTATGATCGATTTGCACAGTTTATAGGCAGACAGCTTAATGATAAAATTGTTTATCAATGTCGCGTTATTATTTATTATAGGTAGTTATATTATTTATATTAAAAGGCACCGTGTCAAGGGTATTTGCATAACGGCAGGATCACGATGCAAATTATTCACCTTGCTGTCGGCAATGTCAGCTGACGAACATACATATGAAGGTATATTTATTTATTATTGATGCAAGGTGGCGTATCAGGTGTGGACTTTCCTTTTATATTTTAATTTATAGTTTTATAATATAGTACCTTTGTTGTGGGGGGAAAAGAAAATCATCTAATGACTTCTCCCGCCCAGGCCAGGGTGAGACGAGAGGGAGTGTCCGACTCTTACTGACTAGAACCTCTTCTTTCTCCGCCGTCGGTGGGCAGGGGAGGGCGAGCAGGGGTAGCTCGCCGTCCCTGCTCGCCCGCGGCAGACCCGAGCCTACGATGGCCGGAAATTGTCTCTCGATCTTCTTTGCGAGCTTCAAAGAAAGAGAAAGAGACTTCCCAGTTCCTCTCGCTCCGCACCGTGTCCTCGACTAAGGTTTGACGCGAGAGGTAATAATAGCCTGGTATCTACAGTTGTGGTTCACCCTCTTTCATGAAGGATAAAAGAATCAGAAAAGAAAAATGAATGTAAAGTATTGGTATACGTATACGTATACGGTATACGTCATACATCGTCGATATCATCATACCATCGACTCTAACTATACATATTGTGTAGACTTGCTGTTATTATTATTAACAGCCGACTGATCTACAGGATTATTACAGACGATTATCGGATATAGGATTATCTAAGTAAATAAAAATAATCCTATTTTATTTTTCTTCTTCATTCCCCGAAGGAATAAGCAATGTACCTACAAGTTATAAATGTAATAAAAGTAGCACGTTACTGATGTATTGACGCCATTTGTTGACCTACTAGGAACTGGGGAATAACAGACTCGTTGCATTACCTACATTCAATTACATTGCAGCATTTAATCTTAGCTTTATTTACGTTTGCACTTTTGTTATTGCATGTTGATTGCAACTTGCACTTTGTCGATTTTGTAGCTGTCATAAGCACCTACCTCGAATAAACAACTAAAGTTTTGTACGATACCATTTTTAAACTTAGCCCAAATTATTTTAAAGTGTAGGTACGAAAATAAATATTGACTCCGTAGTGTAGGTACACATAAGCTACTGAGCCGACTAATGGTTACAATACCTAAATAAGTAAATACTTAAATCATATTTTGTTTTAATCCAAACTTATACGTATGTATGTATGTATGTATGTATATATATATATATACATATAAATGCGAAAGTAACTCTGTCTGTCTGTCTTTTCTTCACGCCTAAACTACTGAACCTATTTGTGTGAAATTTGGTACAGACATAGTAAAAAGGACATAGGATAGATTTTAAACCCAAAATCCACAGAAAGTCAATATTCCCCGCGAACAAAGTCGCGGTCAAAAGCTAGTAGATAATATGTGGCTTCTAAAGTGTTATGTGCTGCACATAACACACACAGAAGCCACATACATAATCGAACCAACTTAGATAATGTAACAAAGAATCTGTAAAACTAAATAAAAAGAGTAGGTAACCATAGAGTTTCTTGCTCGTTCTTCTCCATTGGAATCTACACTTTGAAACGAGCAAATAGCTTCACTAAGAGGACTGACTGACACTTTTCAACTTTAAGTTTTGTTTGACGTTCAAAAGTGCCTGTAATGTAAGGGTCTAATTGAAATAAGTGATTTAGACTTTTAAAAAGTAAATATTTAATTGTAATACTAGCTTCTGTCCCTGTTCTACGTCAATCTTTATTTCACTACCTACCAACATGCCAAATACCTAACTGTGTATAGTATGTTAAATATAAAATTGTTATTACCAACTAAGGTTTGTACATATAACGCACAAACACGTATAAAAACTACCATTACAACACGAAAGTATGACTAATATCTATTAGCCTCGGTAAGTGACTAACGTCAATTTGATGCAATGCCTGAAGGTGTATTACCAAGAAGTACTTAGTTCTTATTGCATCTTGTTAAGATGGATGTTCCGACAGTCTAAAGTGATATACTTCATACACAGACCATTTTTCCCAAAACTAATCATTTTAACACATTTTTACATTGAAAAAGTGTCGTTCTGTACCTAGTTCTGGTTAAATAATTTACATTATTTTACGAAAAAAAAAGTATTAAAAATTGAGGAAAGTGCAATTTCACAACCAAACCTAGCTAGGTAGGTAGGATAGGATACCTTTAATTTTTAACGCTAGATGGCGTGCAACCTATATTTTAAATGACAATGCCAGATCCTGCCCCATGATGATGGGAGATCCTGCCAAAAAGGTGATCAAGTGAGCAGAGGTAACTCCACAGAGGGCTCTGAGTCTGTCTGAGTCCTGAGTCTGTTGAATGTGTAGTTTTTCGTGACACACGACACGACACACAAGTGCAAGTGTTTTTTTATTTTCTTTAAAACCAAGCTGCTGCCAAATAGGCTAGGTTAGAATTGATAACCCATAGAGAATCGCAGTGAGAAATAAACAGCTTATGTATGTTTACAAAAAAAGATGGATAATTTAATAGGGTCTCAATACATTTTACCTTACTTTACCTATGCAAAGTTTAAAAACTAGTAGAGTATTTTATCCTACAAAACATATTTTAACAAAAATTCCGCAGTAATTAAATTTTCACTATCAAAAAGGACAAAAACGAATACAGAAGGAATGATAATGAAATGCATGCCGTTCATTGAATCGCTATATTAATCAAGAAAACTTGTTCAATTAGTATATCAGAGACAAAACAACTTAGTAGATATTAATAGGTACTAGGTCTTCATTGACAGAGAACAAGACAGGCTAGTTTTTAAGACAATGTCAACAAAAATCTTGTTTCTTGTTTAAAGGTACCTACACAGACAATATGTTTATATCTACTCGTTTAGTGAATGATTTGGCTATTAAAAAGTAAATATACTATCTTCTTATATATAAAAATGGATCGCAAAATGTGTTGATAAGCGCATAACTCAACATTGCCTGGACCAATTTTGCTAATTCTTTTTTTGTTGTGTTTGTTATTGTCAGGACTAGTCAGGAGAAGGTGCTTATCAAAGAAAATATTAGAAAAGTAGAGAGGAAGATTAGGAAAAAGTTACCCTTTGATAGCGAGATAGTTGGACCCATGCATGCGAAGGGGGGGCGGGCCGCTAGTTGTAAATGCAAATAGTTATCAACGGGTTATATTCAAATAGCAATGACATCCAGTCATTCAGTTGCATACCGGATTTTCCTTAAAAATACATTTTATTGAAGACTAGTTACTCTCGCGCGGTTTCTCCCGCTGCTTGACTCCATTTGATCGTAGCGTGATGTTTTATAGCCTAAAGAACTCAGGAACATTGTAATTAACTATCAGTGAAAGAATTTTGGCTTTTCGGCCAGCGGTTCCATAGATTACCCCCTACATAAAAAACTTACAAATTTTACCTCTTTATAATATAAGTTACTAGCTCTTACCCGCGGCGTCGCTCCCGTCATTTGACTACCTACCCTACTCTACCTACCCTACTCTACCTACCCTACTCTACCTACCCTACTCTACCTACCCTACTCTACCTACCCTACTCTACCTACCCTACTCTACCTACCCTACTCTACCTACCCTACTCTACCTACCCTACTCTACCTACCCTACTCTACTTACCCTACCTACCCTACTCTACCTACCCTACTATAACTACCCTACTCACCCTACCCTACTCTACCTACCCTACTCTTCCTACCCTACTCTACCTACCCTACTCTACCTACCCTACTCTACCTACCCTACTCTACTTACCCTACCTACCCTACTCTACCTACCCTACTATAACTACCCTACTCACCCTACCCTACTCTACCTACCCTACTCTACCTACCCTACTCTACCTACCCTACTCTACCTTCCCTACTCTACCTAACCTACTCTATCCAATCCTATGTCCTTCTCCTGGCTCTAAACTAC